CAATAATTGAGTTATTATTGGCAAAGGATACAAAAGAAAAGAGGGAGGGGGGCGTAGAAAAGACAATGACACAATCAAGAATCAGCTGATATGATCCACGGCTGACCAACTTGAATGAAAAATAAAAATAAAAAGCAGCAATTCTACGCCGGACATTCCGTCTAGCTCACCTCCCCCCCCCCCGTGCCGTCTGCCCAATTGCAGCTGTCGCAGCCCCAATTATCTCGTTCCTTGCGCCGCCGTCACCGCGACCGGAAGAGGAAACGGCGCCGATGGCCGGGGGGCGAACAGCCGCCCGCCTCCGAGCACAAGATGCGCAATTGTGCCCCGGCAGCAACGCAGCCCGTGGGGCGGAAGAGGGGCGACGCACGGGCACCTGCGGCGCTTCCGGTCACACGCCGCTGGCGATTGGCCGCGTCTTAAGTCTGCTCATTTCGCTCCCTTTTGTTTGCACAAATAACGAGAGGCCGTGATAAACCGCATTTTGACTTTCAGCGTTCTTTCTGAAATATCCTCGTAGATGTAGATGTAGAGGAAGTCACATGGCTTTCCACATAGACGAATGCCTGTTATGAAGCTATTAAGCTTCATTTCAATATTCCTTAAAATTTAAATTAAATGTTTAGGTTAATGTTACTAGCACATGCCAGATTTTTTTTGAAATAAAACAATTGCAATTTTCCCCTGTGTTTATTCATAAACATTAAAATTAAATTGAATTATGTAAATGATGTAGAGAATGCATTACAAAATCATCTGGTGTTGATATTTCAAGACAGTAGCTACATTTTTATAATTCCATGTGAAATAAAATTAAAGATTATCCAAAATAGTACATTTCTGAGAACATAGTGGCTGAAGTAATCCACATTTTTAATCTCTCAAAGAATACAAACAGTGAAAACAGTTTTCACAACAAGGCCGTTAAACTCTCGGGAAATAATATTTAGAAAGAAGGGCAATGTTGATGTCATGTCAACGAAGCTTGTAAACAACGTAGTGTGACAAATATTAGGGACTAGTTTCTAAATACAGTGACACAGACAATATGGACAGTTGCTAATACAACTACAGTTACAGAGCATGAAAAACCAATAAAACTAATCATCATTGGAAGCAAGAATAACGCTTTACGATGCATATCCACGCCCAAGATGGGAGAATTAAGAAATTTGTCCTGTTTGGTCAGTAATGAAGTAAATATTCAAGTTTTATCCACAGGAATTTGTATAAATAAAATTTTAGTCAGAAGCATATTATCGCAGGCCTTAAGTTTTAACGTGTTGTGTGTTTTTGTTGAAACATAATAGACAATGCTATCGAAAATCTTATATTTGTCAACTCTCATGATTTAAATTAGCAACAATTAACCCAATATACTTCATTAAATATAACGACCACTAAATGCAATTTTGATCGACAGAATCAGGAAGAGTACTGAGAACATTTTCGAAAACAAATTTTCGCTAGTAACCACAATCCGAATATTTTGTCCCAACATGCTAGGCAAGATTTCTTTTTTTAATAACAAAAATTAATAACGCTTTTATAGTAAATGAACAGAACGGAAGATGATTGCAAATGATCGCCTCAAAATATAAATGGTACATCCATCACGAAAGTGCTACGAGTAAGTACCGTATGCGCTTCCAGAAGTTAATATGTGTGACAAAACAGTTGTAAACTGTACAGTGGAGACTTTGCAACGTAAAAATGGTGGCAAGCAATAGGTGGACCGAAGGCAACGCTTCTCAGTCGATAGCACTGCTCAGGCACTGCAGTGGCTTCCCTGCAGGTTCCACGAAGCCCGAAAGCTCTCGTCCAACCGCCAGAACAAGCAAACTAACCGACCCCACCCCGCATGTGAGTCTCTGTGCACGCGCTTGCATGTTCCCAATGGCCTCCTCTTCTTAGAAGCTAATTTTAGAATCGCGTTTGCCAGGATTGGCCAGCCAGGCTCACAAAGTGGGTCTTAAAACGTTTGGTGATTGTAATCGTCATGTAAAGATATAGTGTGGATCGTTTATTACTGACCCTGTTCTCATTTCAATTATTACGTTTCTATAGTGAAAAATATCATTCACGACTTGCAATATTCGATTGAAATGCAATGGAAGACAAGCTATCTTCATTACTCACAGGATAATCCCACGTTTCACCATCGCCCTAATCCATTTCATTGCATCAACGCTCTAAATAAGAACGAAAGTAAACACATCTTGAAATGTTCTTTTCGACACCATGGCGGCGAGCCCAAACTGGCGAAGACGTGGCCGAGACCCCCTTCCCTCCTTCCACCTCCGCGACGTGGCCAGCTGAACGCTCCGCACCTGACGCGGCCGCCAACGAGGCACTCGGCGTTGCCATCTCCACCACTCCCTCCGTTCGTCCTCTTGGATCACCCCGAGCTCCGCGTCCGCTCCACTTGGGCATTATGCACAAGAGTCGTAAAACCGGGTCCCTCACGCAACGAATTCGTGATTCCTAAGGGCTCCGTTTCAGGGAGGGAAGCGTCGGGCTAGAGACAAGGGGAAGGCACGGCAGTAAACGGAGAAAATATGCAGATGGCAGGCGCAGAGAGCGGCGGTGGCAATCGGGAAGCAGCGATCGCGAGCGCGTGGCTCGGCGGAAGCGCACGCGAGCGGCGCGTGACGGCACCTGCCGGCGCGGCGGCGAAGGCGTCAGCTGCGACTATCGGCGGCTGGCTGGCTGCTTACGCGTTATCTGGCAGGCGACGACGTCGACGTCCTTCCGCAGCCCCGGAGGCCAAGGCAGCGCGAAGCGGTGCGAAGAGGCGAGGCGAGGCGAGCCGAGCCGAAGAGAGGAGAGCACCTGAGGTGGCCCTGAGCCGCGGTCACGGGGCGCGGCGCGCAACCCGGCTACGTCACCGCATGACGTAAGCGCGCGGTCAGCTGAC